CCCAAACTGATCGTATAAACATGCTAGGAGTTGTGACAACTAGACGTTATTTTAATGATCAATCTTCTAGTTATGACGTCAAGTAAGAATGTTTTTGCGGCGTCATCTTCTATTGCGCTGTCATAGTTCATGGCAAGTGTTGTTTCGAATGGAGAAAATATATATTATGTATATATTTATATATGTTTTGGATCTATTATCTCAACATTGTGAGGGAAAGGTCCCCAAACTCGTGATGGTTCATAATCATGTGTATCTAAATATCGTTAGTCAATTTTTAAATTGTAAAAAACACTCGGTAAACTTTTTGTCTTTATACCATTGGAAAAATAATTCGAGATAGATAAACATCACAAACAACCATCACTCGTCGGAGAACCTCTAGTTCTGTGACTGATGTCGATTGTTTACGGACAACGTGCAAGACAGGGTTTCCAGAAATGCCAATTGATTAAGACTATGGGCAATACTTGTGGACACCATCATGATATCATCGGGAACAATTATATTTCCTATATAGCGATATTGATATGGACGTTTTTGATTATGCTTGGTAGGGTGCAAAATGGTTAAAATATACGTTTGTATTGCTCCGGCCTTGATATGACATAGGCGTGTCATTGCTGAGAAATTACACGTTTACTCTTCCGTTTGGAATGAATTCTAAGTCTTATTTGCTTTGCACAATATCAAGGGCATCCCTATAAATCTGTCCTTTGTTAGTAGTTTGCCATAGTTTTGTTCCATCAATTTTTAGTGCAAACCACTATTCTGTTTTTTTCTCTTTGTTTTTAATCTTCATTAAAATAATGATATTTAGATAACGGTAAACCAGTCTTTAAAAGCCATAAGATGGTATACTTCAATTCAGGTGTCAGCAAAGTGGGGTTTTACTCTTTCACTAATATTGATGTTTTCTGTGTTTTGAATATTGAATCCCACCAAAGACACAGAAAAAAGCCAACTGAACCACTGCGCTCCCAAAGGAAATGTACTTGTGATAAGCTTTTCATCAAAATGTCAAGCCGCTGTTCGCATTCGGAAGCACACTGATTTGTAATTTGGATTAAAGAAGATGATTAATGCATCTTCATTAATTTTGTCATCAGGATACAAAGTACGATGTCCATCAAACGTTGATTTGTTACTTGTGAGTCGGCAGACATAATCCGAATGTTGTAAAACAACGCGCTTCAACAGAAAATTTGACATAGCCCATCAAGTGTTCCTATTTTATGGTAAAAAGATCTACAAGCCACAGGAATACTAATTATAGGAATCACATAATCCCCAATGAATCATTCCCTCATAACCGACTGCATACAACTTAAGTTATAACCGCTTCTGTCTCAACCGATCAAAGACCATGGTGGCAATAAGGAATCATGAATGTTAAAAGTTGGCAATTCAGCTCAACGTATATCCCATATGCATCACACCCACAAAGTATCAAGAATAAGACCATTTGTAACTCTAACTATAACCGATATTGTATGAGCCAATCAGAGGCAACGGAGGTCATCCCTAATCCAAAACAAAAACAAAAGTTTCGTTGGGGATTAACGTTACTTGAACAGAAGTAGGTCGAAGAGTGTCAATGTAGGTGCCATTAAAATGAACAAAATAGAACATGAACGCAGAAAAGTACATCTTAACGTATCCCTAGTTCTGACAACATGCTAGTATTATGTAAACATCGTAGGTGAAAAAGCAAATAATTTTATTATTATTTAAACTGGGTTAAATTAATAATATCACACAATTGACAGTAGATCGAATTCGCGTTGCGAAACAATCACAAATTAAAAAACTTATTTTTTTTAATTTCTTCCTGTTGTTTGGCAAAAGCATGTCTTCGCGAATATATCCATTTTTTTATAACATATCCAGGGGTTGGGGATAAATACACTGTACATACATGTTCTCGCTTATATGTCCATTTTTATGACAATTGTAAATATTGACATATTCACAAAAGCATGAGGACACCACAGAAATCATGTGCTTACAAGATGGTTCTTTCATTTGTCACAATCATACGGCAAGAACTAGCAATCCAATATGTTTAGTCTATATTTTCACAAACCATACGAATAATGAAATACTTTCGAAGCTTGTGTCATTAATAACCAAACAAACTATTCAACTTTAAGTACATTTAAGAAATTACTTTCTCTCATTTTCCTGTGTGTAAGATAGAGCTGTCCATGGTAAGGAAGGGATGTAGGACATTTGTATCTTACACCCCATTTCATGTGACCATTTGGAACTTTACGATACCGCAATGTGAAAAAGGTGAGGTGATGAAATTAAAAACCTTTTACGATACATTTACCGTACACGTTAGAAAGATGTGATTAATTTTCCTGTACAAACTCTGTTTGTGAATATATGGGATATGTTTAATCCGGCTGGCTGATTCGTTTTCGTCTAAAAAGCTCAGAAGGGGGATTGGTATTTTCAAAATGGTGGCCAGTCCAAACGCATTTTCATGGTATCTGAGCTTATTCCGGTGGTTGGAATAAGAGAGAAAATACTCTTATGCCCAAGGGTGTAGGATCCTCTCGGGAGAACTTCCCTAGCCTACACCCCTGTGCCATCCTCGATTTCCAGGGGTTACACTCACCTACGCTCTCTAGAGCATAGGTGAGCGTAACCCCTGTTAGTCGAGGTTGCCTCTGAGCATTAAAGAGTCTTATATTCCATAATAAACATGTCGGGTTGCTCAGCATCTACCGATCATTTTTTATTAAATAAACAATCATTCAGTCACATTTTAATGTGATATCATTTTCATTAATAATTTTGCAATTCCGTTACTGCGTAGAAATATTTACGAGGGATTTTGATTTTTTTCGTTCAAGTCATAACATCCTTGTCAGGATGTATACGTTAAGTTTGCAAATAAGTTAAAATTTGTAATTCAATTTATTTAATATGCCCCCAATTAATTATTTTAAAACTAATAACAGACGATGACGCGAACATATCATTATCTTGAACTTAGATTTGGGACTATTAGCCCCAATAAATTATTTTAAAACTAATAACAGACGGTGACGCTAACAAATCATTATCTAGAACTTAGATTTTGGCCTACGGAAGTATGGATAAGTAACAAATGTACATGTTTTTTCAGGAGATATGGTACAAAATCTCAAATTGACCGCCGTAACATACATTGTCTAACAAATCAAATAAAACAGGTTTTAGAGAAACGGAGAAATATCGTGAATATGTATGCTATTATGATGAATAACATTTTCCAATGTTTACAATCCTATGTGAATATCCATTGTTCGCCCCAGTAGAACGATTTTTCAAGAGAAAATCTAATCTGCACGACTCCTGTTAATACAGTAAAGGAGAATATGTACTGCAATTACTGACGGCTCTTTGGAGAGGATTATTGCACATATCGTTAGAAAGGATACTAAATGTGATTGAAAACATTAAATTGTTCGAAAAAATGTCCGTTTACAGTAACCCAAAAAACAACAGCTTAGCCTTGAGCATTCAGGTGGACGAGAGCTAATAATGATGTGTAACTATAGCATATGCAGATTACGGGGTCTCGGAGTATAATATGCTGAGCACATTTGTTTTAAGTTTAACGTCCTCCCTACAGCTGAGGTCATCTGAAAACGGGCGGTTAGGGCGACACCACCGATAAGTTAGAGCGGTGAGATGAGAAAAGGAACAATAATAGATCCCAAATATTTCCACGGTACAGCAGCTAAATATTTGGTTCTTAAATGTCCTCTAATCATGAGACATGGCCGAAACCGGCAATTCTGCAGAGGCCCACACTAATCGTCTATTGTAGTGGGAAAGAGCATGCTTAGTCTTTCTCCGTTAGCTACTGCGGTTTAGTCGGCAGATCCAGGAATATCACCGTAGCAAGTACAACCACAAATTTGCCATGAATCGAGACAGGCGGATGATTAAGAATGTTCTGGAACGTCATGAATATGGCCAAGTTATTAGAAAGCTATAAAGATAGGCTATTGATATAGATCATCGTCGTTTATAAGCGATTGAGTGTCTAAGAAATAACAATAACCTTTGCATAATTGATATCGGTTCCGATATTCCTTTTTAGATTAATGGTGAAGATACTTCTTAATGAGGTTACAGTTATAAACACTAATTGGGGAACTCATTTCAGCTGACACCTTAGATCGATACACACGTTGTCGCAAAATTATCTGATGCGGTGTCGTTAGTATCTCCTCTTCTTAACAGTGCTGCACTTATCATCCTTATTGTAGACAGCGGGAAATAATGTTCATCATAACACCATCTATTTTACTCACGACATCTCTAATTTCTTTCTAAACATTTTCCTTTTTTTGGATATTATTTTGTTGAAGCTAATTGTCAGCTTATTATAAGAAAAAATGCCCCAATACAAAAACAAATCTGTACATTCACCCTTACGGTATTTTTAAAAGTTTTCTTATTAACAAGGACAAATTTAAACAATGCAATTTATTTGGGAACTAAAAGAAATTGAAAAACGCTGAAACATGTCTCGGGAGGCTGAAATAAAGAAAACAGCATTCGCAAAAATGCAAAAGTTTAGGGAAAACTCAAATTTTGGTTTGTAGTAACGTGATTTGACATATTTAATCGAGGCATTGAGTTTTTGTTTTGCTTTCCTCTTGCATTGTCTAATAGTCCATGGATAATTGAAAAAATAGGGTTCAAATTATTGGAAAGCTTTTAAACTCCCTTTAATTATTTCACAGATACTCTTTGTCAGGAAAACGCCGATATGATGTCGGTATTTCAATGATGGAAAATTCGCTTTTCTGGTACAAGCGTTTGTCGAAGTTTATCAATGAGGACATACGGGTATCTTATTGCATCATGACAAAATGAATGTTATTTATACAAACAAACGGTACCCAGAGGTTATGCATCTAGTGATGAGGCTAAACATTCTTTATTTCTTTGAAGATGACGTTAGACACAATAATACCCCATAAGTAACATACCTGCGCATGCGAGATTGGCGATGAACATATTCATACGTGACTTCAACTTCCGGGAGAGGTAAATGAGAGCGAGGACGATACAGTTAGCGGTCACAGTCAGGACAAAGAGCACACAGAGGAACGCCACTTGTTGGGTCTGAAACAAAAGATATGTATGTATAGCCAGAATTAAAACAAAATATTTAAAATATGAATATCCCTTCCCTGATGGAAAATGATGCCATCATTTAACGTATTTACGCAAATAGATTTAGACATGTACATTGTAGAACAAATTTATATCAAAAATCTTTCCTATCTGCTTCTGTCAATCTATGGAATGAACTCCCTGAAGCCATACGGAATGACGCATCCATAAAAAACTAAAGCTATATCTTAACAGAAACTTACTTCAAAAAGAATCATATTACTTCTGCGGTACTAGAATAGGCCAAATATACCATGCCAGACTCAGAATGAAATGAAGTTCACTAAAAGGCCATCTTTTTCATAAAAATCTAGTAGGAAGTCCACTCTGTTTCTGCCGTGAGGCAAACGAAACAAACGATCCTAATCTAGTATCTTGTCGGAACTATGACCACAAAAATGTTTTAGGGCAATACAAAATCATACATCAGTAGAAACCCTCCTGTTCGGTGACAGCAATCTTTCACCTGCCCAAAATCGAAATATATTTAACTGTGTACAAAATTGTATCATTAAATCAAAACGTGTGCGTGTATGTAATAATTAAATGTCCTGTATATTGTAATTGCAAACTAACATATTGTTTTATATAGTAACGCATGACCTCTGAAATGCAAACTCATTCAAGGTTTTCTCGTGCTCACTTTGCATGAAACGTATTCACATGCTGTTAAGAAAGGAAGTTGCTTTAGCATTGACATCGAATTATAATTGGCCGGACATTGGTCAACACACTTGAAACAGACACATTTTTTACATAACATAAATAATTTGACTGCATTAGGAAATGGATTATAAGTACACAGAGACGATGTGAAAAACAAGGATAAATGATGCAATTAGTACAGAAAATAATATGAAAATTCTTCATAATATTGTGTAAAGAGAAAAACAATTAGATTTCAATATGGCCGCCAAATTATAAAAACAAAAAATAATAAAAGCTCTGTTAACAATAGGATTATATTTTTCACCTTCCCGAAGTCGAAATTTCCTATACCATAGACCCAAATTAAAGAATAATTTACCTTAATTAGATTACTTTGAGTGTTATCACTCTTTCAGTTGGACGTTTTAAATTAAAAGCACTCAGCGCTCCGAATCATGAAATCACACGGATTGCAAATTAGGCTAAACAAAATAAATCAGGAAAACGTAAAAATAATGTTAATTTTCACTTTACTGTACTTCCTATTCCGGCTGCATAAACAAAAATACATTTGCTTCTTTTTTTACGTGTTGAACTAAATTGACATATTGAGAATGCAAATTGATTTAAACTTTATCCAGTAAACGAGGAAAGCAATATTCCCGAATTACAAATTGACATATTTTGAGTATTCATACAAGACAACAAGTCACGAAGGTACGTGACGCAGCAGCAATTCCTCAAATATCCGCCGACTTAGAAGTGTAACTTTATGTTAATTGGCCAATCCTAACGCAAGATTGTCCGACACTCAATTACTTTTTGTCAAATAATTATCTTGCTAGATAGTTTATGTAGGTGAAGAGGCTTTTAATAGAGAGATAATTTTAATTCCTTCAAAAGACGATATTGTACCATAAGAGAAGCTGTGGTATGTTTACCGAGTACAGCGTAACACTTTTAAATTGTGTCGGAGAAACCTAGTAAAACGCATAAACCTTATAACGGCATCCTCTGCAAACCACGCGTTATTTTCAGCACGTTGGTCTGTGATCCTGACCCAGTGTTGGAAAGAATAGTTAGCGTATCGACTTTTGTGCGCCAAACATGCATGTAACATTTTCTAATAAAGTTCTCTGATTCAAAGCTGAAACTACATGTAAGGGAATAACAGCTTATCTGACAAAAACAAACAAAATGTTCCAAACATATTCGTGGCTTTTATGGTATTTATAATAACATATCGGTTTGAAAATATGCATAAGCGATTCAGTAAGCTTAAAATTTTTTGCACTGGGCCTAGAAATTTTTCTATTATAAGTTGGATGGTCCCGGGTCGATAATATGCAACGTTATTGACTTTTAAATAAACCCGAGCACTCGATATTGTTATTTTGTTTTATTAATTCCGTTAAAATACTTATATCCTATATGCTTCTTCATACACTGAACTGTCAACAAATGGGGGGGGGATCTTTAGCAGAATAAATAGATTGGTGTTGTTTTTATATTGTCGCACATTGTCTTCACAGGTAAGTAACCCTAAATGTGAAAATCTTGGTTGAAGCGGTACACTCGATTAATTAAGCGTATCGTGATATTGTTATGAATAACGGTTTAAGTATCACAATATCTTACTAAAAACGAAAACTTTTCCTTATAAATAAACATAAATAATTTTGATGTCACGCTTGCCTTTTATTTTGTTTACATTGCAGAAATGGTTTACCTTATAACTCGAAAGAAGGAACTAGTTGACAAATTGGGCTACCATTAAAAGGTAGAAACAAAAGCGTTTTTATAAAACTGACTATATCAAATGAAACAAGAAACTCGACATATACAAACACCAGTAATCGACTGTAAATAATTTCTGCTAGACTACTGTCAAGATTAATTCAAACTGAAAACAAGTTGACTGATGAGCAACCATGGGGAAGTACGAGAAACTTAATTGATATCAGCGACGCAGAAAAATCACATCCCGTTATTGAAGAGTACACAGCTCATTTACGGTCATACAAGAATATATATTTCAAGATTCACTCTTTGAAGCTAACGTAGATCGCGTGAAAGAGATATGTAGCCTCGTTATTGATGACTGTCAAATTAGATCAGAAGGACGGGATGAATGTCAGCTTGAGTAATGAGGAAGATGACAAAAACTCGCCAGTAAGGATTATACGAGTCTGATGAGTCAGAAGAGGTTCTTTATAATAAACGGAAACCCGTAAAACAGTACGATTCGGTCAGGGGTTGTTTCCCCATTGTGAGAACTCCTTTATAGCGGTTTAGATGATTCTCGTTTCGAAAAAAGCTACACAGATATGTCCATTGTGCAATCAATAAAATATAGTCCAGTCGATTTCAATTGATACACTGTGATAGGTTTTTCGAATTAACTGGAAAACCTTAACACTGGTGCCCCTCCCTTTCCCCTCCCCTGCAATAACGGTTTTTATATTTACTTTTCATTCAGTGTCTACTACTTAAACCTATTGTTATCAACATAATTTATATTAAGAGGCGAAATTGATCTGCTGTCCTTATTGCAAAACTTCGGATTTCAATGTTTTCTTAAAATAAAACACAAGAGGTCCAAAGGGCCTGCATCGCTCACCTAGTATAAATCTCACACTTGTAACCTTAAAAGTGATCTAAAACTAAGCTACAGGCAAAACATCAGTATTTATGATTAAAAGTAATGTGTGCAGTCTAATTAACTCGATGCTAACATACCAATAATATTATCATAGCAATTTGATAATTATTTGATACAACAATTTGGGAATCAGCTAAGGTTAATCTTTCTTTCTATAAGAGAAAAAAAAATCTCATTTCCCTATAGCCAAAGATCATGCTTCTAGGCCTTAAAATTAATCAGAAGAAGTCGTTTAAAGCTTTTAACAAATATGACCCCTGTGACCTTGAATACAGGTCAAGGTTATTTCTTTTCGCAAACTTCGTCAGACATTAACCTAGGAACAAATCAGCCAAATAGCATGCTTCAGGGCCTTTCAGTTAATCAGCATGATATTTGGCTACTAAGTTTCAAAGATGAAGCCCGACAAATTTGCGAAAAGAAATAACCTTGACCCATATTCAAGATCATAGGGATCAAATTTGTTAAAACCTTTAAACGACTTTTTCTGATTAACTGAAAGGCCCTGAAGCATGCTATTTGGCTGATTTGTTCCTAGGTTAATGTCTGACGAAGTCTACACAACGAGTTCTTGGAGTTGGCAAGCTGATCATCCAATTAATAATTAGAATGTTATTCAATATATATATATGGTTATATACACCAATCAGCTACTTCCAGAAGAGCATCAATTAAAAACAATAAGTCATGTTATTGTCAATAAGAAAATTCATCGGAGCAAAAAAAGACATTTTGTTATAGCTAAGTACTCCCTTTCCTCTTAAAAAAAGTAGATATCTTATTATTTTTGTACATATTCAAGAATAAAAGCACAATTGTATATGTATACAATAACGTATGAAACCGATACTTATTATTCTGTACACATCAAATGGCACTTGTGGCACCAGACGACTAACGGGGGATATCCGAAGTGTGAAACGTTACGGGCTGTAACAGACAAACTCCGATACCGCTTAATGCCAATTTTTCGCACAATTAGCAATGACAAATAGGGCTCTTAAGAAAGAACGTCTCAGCGAACAGGAGACGGTCTTGGTGCTTAGACGTCGGAGTTGTTTCTCATACGTAATAGACATATACTGTTGTCATTACAATGGGACAAATGTCTCGTAGGTGTACGATTTAGTCCCATTCAATGTGTGAACTATGGAAAGAAGCTGATGTTTGTACTAAACGTGCTTTCATCATGTTGTGCCTAAGCGGCAGGCTCAGCTTATGTATAGCCTTATGTCTGTCTGAGCAAGGAATGCTTTCAATGTAGTGCAATTTTAATTAGGAACCCCTTTTCTAGGATTTGCTTATAAAATGTTGACAGCTATTTATTTATTTTTTTGCATCTGGAGACGATACAAAACAATGTATTTTAGAATACTTAGCTGAATATTTGTTTTAAATAATGCACTTCATTTTCAATTTTGGTACCTATCATATTCGATATCAATATTTAAATAGCATTTTCATCAGTTCTTAAACATTTTCAATATTTTTCTATATAAATAAGTTTTCTCAAAATTGTTTACTAGGTATGTTAAACAAGCGCATGGAAACAGACAAGAACTAGCAAACACCTGCGAGATGAACTTAAGACACAGAATTAAATGCTTCATCGATTTTGATCTGATTTACGGTGACTGTG